TTTTAATGTTTAAAATTTAACATTTATGTTCCATCAACTCATTCATGGCATTGTCACAACAGGCAAAAGGAGGTAGGGCCATCTTAGGACACGTACCCCCATAGCTCGAGGTAGTCCAACCTAAAAATTTTATTGATGGGGTGTGAAGCATGATTATTATTTATTTAATTTAATTATTTGAGTTAATGATTTACTAATTTTTAATGATTCATTAAACTTTCACATTTATTAGATTAGTTAATTGATTAAGTACGATCAAAATTTAATTATTGAATTTACTTAGAATTTTGATAGTTTCCAATATTTTAAAAATACCAAACCTAAGGTTGAGTCTATGTCTTTGAGTTTGTGTCATTTAGAATTTTCCATAGCAAGTTATGATTTCTACAAGTTCAACTTATATTAATAAACAAATTTTGACTAAATGTTAACTTTTTTTTATTTACAATGATTTATAGAGGATTTATAATTTCAATAAATACTAGACCAAGAGATAAGTCTGATGCTTTTAATTCTGAGCAAATTAATGCTTAATTTATAATTTTCGGATTAATTTGGATTAATTATATTTGTGAAATTCATATGTTAGTTATGTGCATCAATCATGGGTTCACTAATTGATATACCAAATGAACTCTAAATCTAGTGAAATTTGAAATACATGTTAACCAAAATATGTTCTTTAAACCCACCAAATTTTAAGCCATCAAGATTTACCTAGGTTTCAAAATTTATCCCCAAAGGTAAATTCAACTATACCCTTGGGGATTTAATTTGGGCTTTCTACTATTTAGATTGAGATAAAATCACATGCATTCTAACCCTTACACTAACATGCTCAAAGCATAAACAAATTAAGACCTAATTCAAAGTGATATGTGATTTATTAATTTCTAAAATTTTGGTTCAAAATCTGACAAAGAACTTAGAAAATTCAATTCACTTAAATCTATATATCACCAAGGCCCAAAAATTTAGCGTATATATGGGACACACCCTAATATGACCAATCCAATTTTGAGATCAATTAGATCACTAGGTTGTGAGTAACTAAGGAAAATTAGTTTACATTCAAAGTTAAATTTCTAACAATCCAAGGGAAAAAATTAATTGAAATTAATTTTAAAATAAAATTGGGCTCAAGACCTTTCCAATGAACTCAAGAACATCAAATCTAGGTAAGAATTAGATTTTTGATGAATTCTTGAAACTTCAAAATTTTAAATATTATTTAATTCATTTTTTTAAGAAATCATCTAGTGCAATCATTGGCGCACATGGTGGCCTGATGGAGCAATACAGGACACATGTTAAGCAGTCAGGGCGGCACTTATCCATAAAGGCATAGTTTGGAAGCTATTAGATCTTGAGTTGATTAATCCAACAGTTAGAAGCTTTCCAAATTGCCCACGCATCTAAGCAAATTATGTGTGTTTGAGTCCCAGAGGCTACACAAGCAATTCAACATATTTTGGTTATTGGATCACATGATCAAATGCTGCATATTGATCCAGCCATTTTAGTTCATTTTGCATTGAAACTTTGATTGCTCATAATTTTGTGTAGGATGCTCCAAATTTATTGAAATTTTAAACATTGTTTCATGTTACCATAATTTTCCAATCCATGGAGTTTGGAGGCTCCATTCATTGAAACATTAAAGTAATTACTAAATGAAATTTAAGCATTAAAATGCAAAATTACCTCAATCTTATGGATTTATTTCCCTAATTTTAAGCTCCATAGACTCATGCTGATGTCCTCTATAACATTCTTGAAGACCTCAAGCCTTGATTTCCACTGGATTGAAAGATATCTAAGGATTATCATTTTTTCTCTCTATCCTCTCTCTCTCTCTCTCTCTCTCTCTCTCTCTCTCTCTCTCTCTCTCTTCTCAATTGATGGTTTTTAGAGCTAGGGCAGGATGGGAGATGTTTTGAGCTCTACGAAAGAGAATTTGGGGCAAGGGAGGTTTTGGGTAGAGAGAATTGAGCGCATGATGCTTCTCTCTTAAATTTGTCCCTTTTTCCCTAATTTAAATCATAGGGGATTAAACTAAGGGCCAAGATTGAATTGGAAGCTTCCCCAAATGCATGCCATACGGTTGGGGTTGTTGGATTTCAGTCTTTTGTCATAGGCGATGGACAAGGCCAAGGATACATGAGTTGGAAAGGGAATTATTGAGTTTAGTGCACATGGACCCAAAAAAAATTAAGGGGATGCTTGGGATAGGCTGAAAGAAGCTTCTAGAGTGCAATTAAGGTGCTTAATATAGCTAATTTTTATTATGTTAGCTTTGGATCCATGAATTTTGGTTTTCGAGGGCTTGGTTCAACCCAATTCATTTACCTAGATTAAACCATGGGTTGGGCTTGTTGGGTTTGATGTAGTAAGAAAAGGGACACCTACTACATTCATTAGTGTAATTTAATTTCACAAGGGTGGGATTTTGGTTCAAGAAAACCACATTGGGTCAAACATGGTGATCCCATGATTTGGTGGGGTGTCCATGCATATAATGTAGTTTAAATGGATAAAAGAACATTTTGGTTAAGCTAGGTTGACTTAGTCATCCATGGTTTACCATGGCTTGGGGTTAGGCTCAATGCACTCCATTTCACATATGAGATGTGCTGGAGGAGGTTTCATGGTTTGGTTTGATAGAGCCATATTGAAGTTTAAATGAAATTTACTTTTATAGAAGTTTTGGGGTTTAAGGGTTCATGGTCAACCATAGTCCACCAAGGGTCAATTTTGGCTCAATGCAATATGATATTGCTCATGGGTAAGTTCAATGGTTTTGGGAGGGCCTCTAAGATCAATTTCCAGAAGATGCATGGTCTAGGGGCGTAGGCTTTAAATATTTGAAAGTTTTTCCACCTTCGAAAATTCATTTAGTTTTGGGGGTTATGAGGCTTTAGATTCTTTAAAATTGATGTGGTTGATCCTAAGGACATCGCCTAATTAATATGCAATTGATTGATCACAAACCCAAGTTTATTTGATAGGGTTTTGAAGGATCTAAATCTTCCTCAAAAAATGATTTCGGACCTTGGGGTTTTGGATTTGAGCATTTAATTTTGGGTTTTGGATTTTGATTGGAATTTCTGATTTGGTTTGATTTAGGATTGAATTTGATTTGATGTTCTTGGGGTCAAAACCCACCAAGTTCAAAATTATAATATTTCTCAACCATCAAGGCATCCCTCAACTCACCAATAATACGCAAAGTTTAAAATAGTTTTAAATTTGCCTACACTAATGAGTTGAATCATAAAATTTAACTAAGACTAGGTTTGGATGAGCGTGCTCCACTTATATTTACTTAAACTATTCTATACATCTCAACATGTTTATTTTTAACAATTGTCAAGTTACATACTTAATCATGAATTGAGTTCAGGATTTGCATGTTTTTAAAAGGAAACTTCATTTCAAATACACAGATAAATGTCATAGAAAATTTCATATGGGTGGTGAGCACTCGTGCGCAACTGTTACTAGTGTTGACATACTTATGAGTCCAACATAGAATAAAATCTCATTTTATTCCTCCATAAAATTACACATAAAACTGCCCATCTAACAAAAATATAAGATAATAAAAATAAAAATAATGCTATTTTCAAATATTAAAATATGTCTTCCTTTAGCTTACTTGGTACAAAAGACTCAATTACTTACACACTTGCACCTCCCCTCAAAGATTTCCTCCACACTGCCATACAAGAGCCCCTTTAGTGGTGCATGCCTCTTCCACCAGTTTTAAGGGATCTTCTTCCTCCTTGCCCTACATCCCAACAATGTTAATAGGCTTTAATTCTTTAGTAATAGGAATCTATGTGTCACTAGTCACCATAATCAATATCTCAATAATCTTAGGATCCATCCTCTTTGCATGAGGGGGTGATGAATTATTTAGGTATGGGAACCAATTGGTCCTCCCCTTTCCTCAACAATACCTCAATGGTATTTTTTGACTTCCTCTTTGTCCCAACGTCCTCAGTTAGCCCTATACGAAGGGCGACCTTTCTCAACTGCTTCACATGGGAGTGAGCCAGCGCAATAGGGTCAAATTCAATCTCAAAACTTGCCATACAATGATTTGCTTCATTATGCCAACAATTCTTTACTTAACAGGAGTAACGTAATGATTCTCTAAATGTATGATTAGAATATAAATCAACATGCATGGTAAGATTTCTGAAATGAATGCAACAAAAAAAAATTTGTGTTAATACTATTTTTCAATAATTTTCAAATAGAGATATAGTCTTGCTCAAACTTTACTAAAAAAATATTTGAATAAGGTGCCAGAATTGATCAACACTTGTTTAGACCTTGATCAAAATGTCATAATCAATCCTTTTTCAATCATCAATCAAATCCAATACAAAAGTGCCTAAAAGATTCAAATAAAATTAAAATAACAATCGATCATGACCTGAACATAAAGATAGAGCTTGATGAACTCATTCTGAGAACAAGAGAAGGTGATGGTGTTATAATTGTTTGCGGCTCCATTATTATTTGACGCTTTAGAATGTGATTTATTTTTCTAGTAGTAGTTCTTTTTGTTATATATATATATATATCGAAACAAAACGGTAGGCACCGTACCCTTTGAAGGCATTCGTTTCCTTCAGCGTTCCTGGTACCAAAAAATATTGCAAAAAATAAATAAATAAAGAACTTGAATAAGGCTTTGCAGACCAAAAATTGAATATAATAATAATGTATTTTCATAAACTATGTGCAAGCATATTTATTATTTTTTTATGTTTAACTGATGATGTTGCATGTGAAAGGATTTCCCATGAACTTTTGCTATAACAATTTTGGCACTGTAATATACCAAATCAACATCAAATTAATGAAACGGTTATCAAAGCAGTTGTAAGCTTTGTAGCAAAAAAAAAAAAAATTCTTTGGATAAATTACAAACTACATCTGCTCGCTTCTAAAGAACCCTAAAAAAGCAAGATATGAAAAAATTGAAATTAGAAAAATTATAACTCTATATTAACATTGAAGAAGATGAAAATGGACAAGGTCAAATGATCTGATGCACAAGCAATGAATCATGATCTCCAAAATTACATGCCTGGGTCAGCTCACTCTTCCAATCAGAAACAAATAGCCATGCCAAAGTAACTTGGCCCCCCAAGGCACAGCTGTACATTTTAAAAATATGAAAAGAAGCAATTCCCCTCTGCTAACACTACAACGGCTAATTACCCATCCAAATGTAAGTGCCTCTTGGTAACCCCATGCTCACTCCCGGTGTTTCTCAGTCTATTAAGTGCAGATTTCTTTCTCTTTGTTCTCAAAGGACCAGATCTGTTATAACTAGTTATGGATTCCATCTTCGAAACCAAAGAAGAAGTGGAATGAGGCCTGCACATCTCTTCAATCTGATCCGAGCTATGCACCATGTTTACATGAGAGTATGAGCACCCACTCCACCAGCTGCTCTCCAGCCCAAATTCACCTTTGTAGTCGTAATCCTGGCAGGAGGAAGATCCTCTTTGGCTGTAAGAGTCTTCATTTGTTTCGTCCATGTCATTGTATATTAGCTTCAATGCCTGGACTACTTCTCCCATGAAAGGCCTCTGAGATGCTTCTGTGTGAATACACATTGAGGCTACTGCTGCAACTCTAGCAAAGTCATTGAAGTCACAGATTCCCCGTAAGGATGGATCTATAAGCTGTTCTAAACCTTCTTTGCTTGTCAGCAAAGGGCGACTGCAGGTCACAAGATTCTCTGGTTCATCATTACAACTCATGTACACAGGCTTACGACCTGTTAGAAGTTCCAGGAGCACAACGCCATAACTATAGACATCACTCTTAACTAGAAGATGCCCAGTCATCGCATACTCAGGCGCTACATACCTGAATAAATGATTGAGAAATTCCAGAAATTGTCAGTGACAATTTGGAGGAAAAAAAAAATTAGTAGACGGATATATGCTGTAAAACAATCAACACAGTGGTGGGAAAAACTAGGAGAAAAGGTTCCAGGCATAGAAATAAACAAGAGTTAATATCAGTAACAGATGAGAAAACGCTTCAAGTGCGTTGTAACTAAGAGTACTTGAAATTTTGATGATGACTAACCCTGAAGAAACCAGCTGTAAGTATGTGATAATGGAAGTTAAGGGATGACTTCAACTATCTAATCAATATCTTATCAAGAATTTTCAATGATGGGATTGGGCCATAGTGCTTGTAATATAAGTATAATTTTTCAATGTTATATACTGTTCTATGGTGCTCGGCAGTGGGGCATTAGCAATGATATCAAACTGCTATAACATTTCAAATTCTTACTTTCCCTTTACCTTTAAGCATCCAAACATGTTTCCAAGCATCAAACTTTGAAAACCCATTCAAATTCAGTTGCAACATATTGAATTTCGATGGTCAAAGCAGCTTCAAATAGTTTCCAAAGGATAATTACAGTTCAACGGGATTTAATTGTCTTATAAATAATATCGTATTTTCCAAATTTTCATGATTAAATATTGATGAATAGGTCTAGTGTTAAGCTTGTGAAATTACCCAAAAGTCCCCATGACTCGGGTGGAAATATGATGACTTGCGTCAGATGCTTCTTTTGCCAGCCCAAAATCTGAAACCTTGGGTGTAAAATCTTCTTCCAGCAGTACATTGCTGGCCTTGAAATCACGATGAATAACACGAGGATTGGAATCCTCATGCAGGTATGCAAGGCCTCTGGCAGCACCAAGGGCTATCTTCATTCTTGCATCCCAGCTCAAAATCTGCTTGTCCCTATCTGCACCTGAATCATCATCATGGAACATAAATCACACGCACGACAATTTAACCATAATGAAGCAAAGTATTAGGGTGCAACACTGAACCAATCTGTGTCAGTCGTTGCAACTTCATCAAGCTGGGAGACCATAACGGATCATAAATTACTAAAGGGACCAATTAAACTATTATAAACATAAACCAATAATAAAATCGATAACAAGACATTTGTGATTTAGAGTATTACTTACTCATGCAATTATTTCACACAAGTTTTTACATGTGAATGTTCTAAGGAAATTGATTTGTATCAAGTGGAGATCAAGTGATTTATGCTTTGAAATAGATTTGAGTAAGAGACTAAACTTGATAAAAAAGGATGTTTCATAACTTACTGACAAAGAAACAACTGGCACTAGCAAAAGGACTTAACTGATCTGGTTTTATGATTTAAAAATTATTCTAAATGCAAATGACTTAATATAGAAGGTCAAAAAATGTTTAGAGGTGATGAACGTCGAAGGATAATCCATGCAGAGATGAAGTACTAAGGTGATGGGAGTAATGTTCATTTCTTCTAAATCTAATGCTTTGAATTGACTTGTTTATTACTCTTGCTCCTTTATATTTATACGGGAAATGAAATAATCTCTATGAAATTGTTATTTTAAATGACTCATAATAATTTATCCCATAGCACCCATCACATTGAGATTCGTTGCTTATATGCTATGAATCACATGTGTAAGTTTCCATGCCTATGGCTGAAACGCTCATGCAGACTATTATACCAAGCAACTCGCCTTACAGATGTACTTTATGTATGATGATGCGTGCATGATCAATTATAAGGCCACTCACTTATAGCACAAGCTGGGGCGGTGCAATCATTGACTGTTTTGTCTTTCATTATGGGTGATGTTATAGGTATGAAAAATATTATTGAAATTGAAGTATCATACTGATATATGAGGTTTAGATGGTGCCCCTAACATGGATGTACTAATTATTCACTTTGAAGCATATGTTATGATATATTATGCTTCAATTCATGTTCATCTATCAAATGTTATTGCAAATGTATATGATATCAATGTTATGCCAAATGCTATGATCAGTCCACAAATCATAATCAAGATGTCAATGTTATAACAATTATTATGATCACTTTATAGTCTATTAAAGTAAAGTTGTTTTGGTTCAATTGTCATATTTTGTGTTCTTTTGGGTATTTTGTGAGTTTCTTTTATATATGAAGTGTTTCTTTTTTGTGATAAAAAATTTGGGTCCCTCCCTCTCCCAAATTTTTGATTGCATCACCAATGCTATAACAATTGTTAGGATTACGAAACCTTAATTTTTTGAAATAACTCGGAAGAATTAATACAAAAGCTAGATTTAAATGGACATGTTGATAGAGAGGTACATGATTTTAAAAACATTCATGGTGGCCCTGGATTTGGAGCGACTAATGAAGGTGGTAAGATCATATTAGATTTTTCTTTAATTTATGATTTTGTAATTGCTAATACCTTCTTTAAGAAAAGAGATAAGCATCTCATCACTTATAAGAATGGATATTATAAAACTCAAATTGAGAGTAAGATTTTAGATCTTAAGATTTTATCTATGCATGAGGAAGCTAATGTTATGTGGAAAAAAGTAACTAGTGATATTAAGAATATTGCAAAAAATATGTTTAGACTATAAAAGAAAAAAACTCATAATAGTACAAATAGTTGGTGGTGGAATCAAAATGTACATAAAAAGATAAAAATGAAGAAGATTTGTTATAAAAATTGATTTAGATGTAAAAATTCTAATAATTAGGAAATATATAAAGAGATCCGTAAGGAGTCTAAGAAAGCAATATGCGATGTAAAGATCTTAGCTTTTAATGATTTATATAATAGATTAGATACAAATGATGGAGAAAGATACATGCATAAGTTAGCCAAACAAAGAGATGAGAGTAATAAAGATTTAATTCAAGTGAAGTGTATTAAGGATGAATATTAAAAAGTATTTTTATTAGAAGAGGATATTCAACAAAGGTGGATGAGATATTTTGCTAAACTTTTCAATGAAGATTGTGAGAATGAGATTGCCTTTAGTGACCTAAGCAGCCTAAATTAAATTTTTTTTTTATCTGCATATCAATAAAACGGAAGTAAGAGATGCTTTAAATAAAATAAAGTGTGAAAAAAATATTGGATCTTACGATATTCTAATAGAGGTGTGGAAATGTTTAGGAGATTAAGGAATTTATTGTCTTACTAAACTTTTTAATATTATTTTGAAGACTAAAAAGAAGTCAGATGGTGGAGAATGATTGTGTTGATTACTTTTTTAAGAATAAAGGTGATGCATAAGATTGTGCTAATTATAGAGGAATTAAGTTAATGTGTCATACTTCAAAACTATGGGAGAGAGTTATGGAGCATAGGTTGCGGTGTGAAACTAATTTTTGTCAAAATTAATTTGGATTCTTGCCGGGTAGGTCTAAAGTGGAAGTTATAAATTTATTGAGAGGTTTGATGGAGAAGTATAGAGAGAATAAGGATGATCTACATATGATATTTATTAATTTAGCGAAAACATGTGATAAAGTTCCAAGAGAAGTGCTATGGAGAATTCTAGAAAAGAAAGGGGTTAATAATGCTTATAGTAAAGTCATTAAGGATATGTATGAAGGAACTGTTACTTATGTTCAAACACAAGGTGGTTTGACCAAGTATTTTCCTATTTTAGTTAGATTATATCACGGATCAGCCTTAAGCCCATATCCTTTTGCTTAAGTCATGGATGTTCTCACTATACATTTTGCAAGAGTTGTACCCTGGTGTATGCTTATGCTGATGATATTCTTCTTGTTGATAAGATCAGAGAGGGAGTTGAAGGTAAACTTGAATTACGGAGGTCAACCTTCAATTCTAAAGGCTTTCGTTTGAGTAGATCTAAAATTAAATATATGGAGTGTAATTTTAGTAATAATAGATTTAGTGGGAGGATTGTGACTTTGGGCAATCAAGTCATTAATAAGAATACACATTTTAGATATTTTGGGTTTATTGTTCAGAGTGATGTGAAATAGATGGGGATATTATTAGTAGAATTCAAGTTGGATGGTTGAAGTGGAGGAATGCATCAAGCTTGTTGTGAGATAGAAAAGTCCCCCTCAAACTTAAGGGAAAATTTCATAAGAGGGTGCTGAGACCGGAAATGCTTTATGGTGCAAAATGTTGGTTATTAAAAGAGAAGTATAATATTAAGTTAAGTGTTGCAGAGATGAGAATGCTCAGGTAGATGAGTGACTTTACTCTTAGGGTAAGGATACGAAATGAGCATATACGTGAAAAGGTTGGAGTAGCTCCAGTAGAAGATAAGATTAGAGAGAGTCGCCTTAGATGGTTTGGTCACATAAATCAGTGGCCTTTCGATGACCTGGTAAGGAAAGTAGATGTATTATATTTGACTTATGTTAAGAAAGGTACCGGTAGACCTAAAAAGATTTGGTTAGAATTCATAGAAATGACTATTTTTTATTAGATTTAAATGAGAATTTGATTCTTAATATGACACAATGGAGAAAAAGGATTCATATAGCCGACCCCACATAGTAGGATAAAGGCTTGATGTTGTTGTTCTTGTATCGATCTTTCTAATCTTAAGTTATCGAAGTTAGGAAAATTTTTGTATAAATCTCTATATCCTGATATTATTTAAATGTTAAATGATTATCATACATATTTCTTTTCTCCCATTTTGTTTGATGTTATGTAGAACTAAAATTTACATATTGAGTTATTTTTATAACTCATCCCAATTTCTGATTTTGTTATTTTATGTAGGTTGAGTTAAATGAGATTATTGTAGGAAAAGGGTGCTAAGAAAGGAATGGTTAAGTTAAATACATCTCTAGTCCTATTTAGTTATATTTTACATTTAGATGCTCTGATTACCATTTTGATGGATATAAGCATGTTATGCATGTATGTAATTTATGATTGTCCATGTTGCAACTATTTTTTGTTATGTTCTACTATAGTAGATTAGGGAGTGACTTGGGCAATCCCATCATTATGATCATTCATTCTATGCTCAATTTATTTGAGTTCCTAAGCAAGGTCATGACATAATGGTATCAAAGCAATATGATTAATTTTCTAGGTTGTAGTTAGAAAAGGACAATGTGGGTTGGCTGTCATAGAAGGTACATTACTAAGAAGTGAAATAAAATGAATAAAGTATTAATGATTTTTTTAGATTGATACAATTGTTGCGGTAGACTTAGTATCTGATGCTACTATTTTCTTTCCTACATTTTTGCAAAACACTGAAGATATTGATCTTAGATATGATGTGTTTTCTAATTGTTAGAATTCATAGAATTTGAGAAGGGTAAAAATACCTTCTACTTATTATACAAAATTACCCCTATTTATAGATCTATACAAGATGTCTTAATAAAGAAATAAATAACTTCTAATTGATACATAATTGCCTCAATATAATCCTTCCTAATTCAGCTGCTACCCAAATATAGAAGGATATTGGCGTGATCCAAGTGAGCCTCCCACGGATTCTCATCCTGACCGTGGGATCAAATGCTAAGGGATGACTGAGATTTTGACACTCCCCCTCAAGCTGGAGACCAGCTTGCAATTACTCGCTCAGAGATAGAGCTGCATTGGTTATGGATAGGATATCAACCACCAGAGAAAGCCGACAATGAAGGCTGATGATGGAAAACTATCCTCAAAATTCCGACAATGAAGGCCGGTTGTGGAAACTAGTATTCCTCAACATTCTGGCAATGAAGGCCGATGATAAGAACCTGTATTTTTTCATAATTCCGGCAATAAAAGCCGGTAGAATGACTAATATTTCTCCAAATTCTGGCAATGAAGGACACAACCAGAAAACAGAGGGCACGAGCGGTTTGGACTTACTTGACTCTCGTTCGATGTCCTACAGCAATGAAGGCCGCTTGCACAAAATAGAGGGCACGAGCTGTTTGGACCA